TTTTTATTATCAATAGTAATTTATATATAGAAACATACGAATGAACGGATGAACGAATAAATTGTTTAAAGAGTTTAAATTTTTCCTCGTAACATTGCTCGTATCTCAAAGCAATTATCCCCATTGAAATAAGTTGAAATGCCATTAATCTGTTCTAGCCTGCAAAATGCTACCTCCCTTTCAGAATGCTTGAGGGTTGAGTTGGGTGTCATTAAAGAGCTCCGATGCAGTCTGTTGCATATTTTTGGGGTGTTTCTTATACATGAACTGTTAAATCCGCGTAACTCGTCACTCGTATCTCAAATTATGCTTGTAGCGTACCTATTTACGGAAGAGTCTATTGTGGGACATAGGTCCCACTTTATATATTTTTTGGCCGATTCTAGCCGGAAAAAGATACGCATGCGCAATGGAGAAAAACTACCGCCTTCATTCGCGGCGATGTTTCCGATGGTACTGCGCATACGTGTGTTTATACAAACCCCAGAACCCTAACCCTATCCCTAATCCTAGCCCTAACCCTAACCCAGCTATTTATGTCACTGCGCATGCGCAGAACTATTGTGTTTCGTATTTTCAGCCGAAAAATCTTTTTTCGAGTAGTCACACCGGTTTTTTTTTTTTTTTACTAATACCAATACTCCGGTGTGCCCTATTCAAGCCAATATTCTTTTCCGGATTTCTTCATCAGCAGAAAGTCGTCCTGTCGTTTCCCATGGGTGTGCGTTGCTGATGGTTTTGTGCCAGCTTATTCTGAGTACATGTCTGAGGCAGATGTTTATAAATGTCTGGACTTTATCAATGGTGGTCTTTGGTCATCATCTGAGTCAGTGTTTCTTCCAGACTTTTTTCTCCGGGGGGGGGGGGCACTTGAAATTTTCGGGGGGGGGGGTAGATTTTCTTCGGCGGGGGGGGGGGGGGCGGACACTGTTAAAAGTACATATTTTCTACATAAATTATATAAATTTCATTTCGTTCTGGGGGGGGGGGGGGGGGAGAGGGACTTCGACCCCCCCCCCCCTGAAGAGATGACTGGAAGAAACTCTCATCCGAGTCTCTGCCCCATACAGCAGCCTCCCTCCCCCCCTGCCTACGCCAGTGGTATCCTATAGCAAAAACTTGCCTGACTACAGTTTTTTTTTAATTACCGCAGGCTCCTCCGTTGCCCATACGGATGGTAAATTGGTAATACAACTAGCGTTTCAATTACTTTGGTGCCCATTCCTTCAGCTTCCTGTTTATGGATACTCCCTAACTAAAGCGTCCCTAGTAACCGTTTCTCTTACGCTGGATTCCTCTATTGCCTGTTCCCCAACTTCCTGTTGGAGGCAACGATCGCCACCATTATGATGGCATCCCCAAACTAAAGCGTCCGTAACAACCATTTCTCTTACCGTTGGTTCCTATATTACCTGTTCCCCCAACTTGCTGTTTGGATAATTCCTAACTAAAGGTCCCTAACAACCGTTTCTCTTATCGTAGGTTTCTATATTACCTGTTCCCCAAACTTCCTGTTTGGATAATCCCTAACTAAAACGTCCATAGAAACCGTTTCTCTTACCGTTGGTTCCTTCACTGCATCTTCCTTCAACTTCCTGTTTTGATAATCCCTAACTAAAGCGTCCCTAGCAACTGTTTCTTTTACCGTTGGTTCCTATATTGCCTGTTCCCCCAACTTCCTGTTTTGATAATCCCTAACTAAAGCGTCCTTAGCAACTGTTTCTCTTACCGTAGGTTCCTATATTGCCTGTTCCCCCAACTTCCTGTTTGGATAATCCCTAACTAAAACGTCCATAGAAACCGTTTCTCTTACCGTTGGTTCCTCCACTGCATGTTCCCCCAACTTCCTGTTTTGATAATCCCTAACTAAAGCGTCCATAGAAACTGTTTCTCTTACCGTGGGTTCCTATATTGCCTGTTCCCCCAACTTCCCGTTTTGATAATCCCTAACTAAAGCGTCCCTAGCAACCACCTTACCGTTGGTTCCTCCACTGCCTGTTCCCTCCACTTCCTACTCGAGGCAACGATCACCACCATGACAATCCCGGTCAGCAAGACAACAGCGGCCAGCGTAACTTTCACGCGCATGTCCGTATCCATGGTGATCACGTCGCTATAGCACCAGCCTTTCTCCTCAACACCTTCTCCCGCCTTACTCTGCTTCTCCTCCACCTCCTCTTCCTCCCCTTCATCATCCTCGTCTATACTAATAGACTCATGCAATTCATTTTCCTTTGTCTCCTCGTCACTGGTATTATCTTTTGGTGTGGGCGACGATGTTTTAACTAAAAAATCCAAGTAATCGAATGATTCCATATCGATCTCCCTTCAGTGTCATTACATGTAGCATTGATATTGAAATATATAAAAAACCAACTATCTAATTAGATTTTATAATTTTAAAAATTAACTGTTATTATTTGTTATTGAGAAAAAAATATGAGTTTAAATTGTATTAACTTGTTTTAGATATTACATCTTATAAAACAAAAGTTTTATTTTTTAACTGTAGGCTTGAAATTTTTAAAAAATGTTTTTTCCTTTTCAAGTTTAAATTATCAGGCACAATTTATTTTCCATAAAAACACGTTTTACTACTACTAAGTAATTAATGAACAATGTGTTTATCATCAACCACATTATCACATCCGCATTAACACATTCACGTTTCCACATCCTCATTAACTACGACAGTGATGAACATTATCCATAGCGAATTGAAACATTAACAGAAGGCCATAAACAGGGGATGAACATCACTAAATGACTACCCACGTTAACACATAGGTTGTGCTTTAATAAAAGTGAGACGGTCTGGAGGTGCCGAGGGGGGGGGGGGGGGGCGTCAAGCAATTAGGTGTTAAAAAGAAGAAAAGAAAAGTTAACTGCCGTGAAAATATGCAAATTAAGTAGCACGTGCGTATACCCTCCCACCCCTGTATAAAGGCGTACACCGCATTAGTACAGGAGTTGGGGAAAGTCGGCCGTGGTGTAATGTGAAACTAAGGTGGTGTAAGGGGGGGGGGGATTAACCCCACTCATATATATATATATATATATATATATATATATATATATATATATATATATATATATATATATATATATATATATATATATATATATATATATATATATATATATATATATATATATATATATCACAGCCCCCCCTCACCCCAGAGGCTAGGCTGAAGCCGCCACTGTCCGAGGGGCAGTGACAGCGACGGGGCACTAAACGGTGTCAATATTGAGACAAAGCCCGTCAGCGGCGGTGCCAAATGTTGACACACTGACACGACGGCATCTCGCGAACTACGTCGTCAGACTTAGCGACACGGTACCTTAATGAGGGGGCGGGGCTTAGGTTGCTACCTGTACACGGAAAAAAAAGTACTACTACTACGCATGTTTTTTTAATGAAATTCTACGGGACATTCTAGTAGGGATACGGGTGTTTTTATTTTTGTGAAGCTGTACGACAGTCTAGCTAGGATAAAATGCGATGGTGCTTTGCGATAGTTATTAAATGAGATAGAGACTCTAAAATAAAAATAAAATTCATAATTCATTTTTATTCAGGAGCGGCGTTGAACGTTTAAAATTTACTATGACGCCTTAAAATAAATGTTAGCCGCCAACTCTCTCCATACAGGTTTCTTGCTTAAACGACTAAACCTTGCTATGTGCTACTTGAGGGAGGGGGGGGGGTGACGTTGTACACATTTTGTATTTCTTAGAAATACAATCCAAATACTGTTGCCCACGATAGGTACAGTGTGTTTCTTCCAGACTTTTTTTCTCAGGGTTGGGGGGGGGGGGGGGGAGACTTGCTATTTTCGTGGGGGAGGGGGGGTGCGAAGAGATGCCTGGAAGAAACTCTGGATAGGTGAGGTGTTTTAACTGCTGTGGTTTCTCGCACTCGAAAACCTTTGAGTGTAGACATAAGGGGTTGACGTTTGACGGCGACACGAAGAAAATCTCAAGTAGACTTGACAAACCGAAATCAAGTGGAGCTGTTAAAAAATGTTCTCTCGTATGTGGATCTAGTTCTATGTGTTTTTTTGTTGTTTTTTTTTTTTTTTGCGTGTAGGTGTGTGGTCTTAAATATTACCGATATCAACTATTCTCATATATGTAACGCACGTATATATCCCCGATAACGACTCTTCAAACCTAGTATAATCTTACTTTTTATACAAATGAATGAACCCCAGGCGTTCCTTAGAGACTCTTGAGACCGAACTCGAGACTTTCGGTTTAGTAATCAGGCGCTCTACCATCCGACCAAGCCGCCCTGTAAGATTACAAATGGAGGGGGGGGGGGACTAGAATCGAAATTTGATTTGTAAATACGCTACAGCTTTAACCTGGCCTAACTCTACTTAGATTCAACTTCTATATTGGTCTTCAATCACCTCCTTAATCTACCGATGGTCCTATCCTTACCCCCCCCCCCCCCAAGTTACTTTCAGACATTTTTTTCCGGAAGGGGGTGGACTAGTTAAAGTGTATATTTTCTATATTAATTATATTGTTTATTAAAAAAAACAGTCAGAAGAAGTGGTCAACAGAAGAAGTGGTCAAACATTCAAAGGAGGTGGCCAAACATTCAAAGGAGGTGGCCAAACATTCAAAGGAGGTGGCCAAATAGTCAGAGGAGGTGGCCAGTCAGAGGAGGTGGCCAAACATTCAGAGGAGGTGGCCAAATAGTCAGAGGAGGTGGCCAAACATTCAGAGGAGGTGGCGAAACATTCAGAGGAGGTGGCCAAACATTTAGAGGAGGTGGCCAAACATTTAGAGGAGGTGGCCAAACATTCAGAGGAGTTGGCCAAACATTCAAAGGAGGTGGCCAAATAGTCAGAGGAGTGGCCAAACATTCAGAGGAGGTGGCCAAACATTAACAGGAGGTGGTCAAAAATTCAGAGGAGGGGGCCAAACATTCAGAGGAGGTGGCCAAACAGTCAGAGGAGGTGGCCAAACATTCAGAGGAGTTGGCCAAACATTCAGAGGAGATGGTAAAAAAGAATTTCTGATTTTTTTATACCCCCCCCCCCCCCCCCCCCCCCCCCCCACCGTCTTAAAATATGAGTATATTTTAAAAGTACCACCGAAGCGGGGTCTCCCTAATCAACACACGCCACGTCACATCTAAAACACAGGCATCTTTTTATTTCCGTCTTTAGCGTATGTTGTGCCTCGTTGCTCTTTACCCTCGCCGTAGCCCCGTGCTACTCGTAATGTATTGTAAGGTCGCCTTGACCCACACACCAACAAAGCGAGTGTTTTCTAGCGAATGCAAATAAAAAAATGACAACAGGAAATGATGGAAATCACGCGTTTGTTTTGTACGGTAGTTCAGCAAAACAAATATTTAGACAACTTTATTAATTGACTTTTAAATGCACCGAAAATAAAACATAGTGTGTCTCTTAGTAAAAGCATTGGTTCTCTAAAATATGTAAAAGATTTCATAAGGCTGTGGAAATTAAAAAAAAAAAAAAAAGCAGTGATGGGGTTTGGGGAATGCGATGTTAGCGTGGAAGAGAGAATGGATCCCTATGGGATAAGACTATAAGTTTCCGTTACATGGTTTTAAAACAAAGTGCAGTGTTATTAATAATAAATGTTTAAAAACCCGATTGTTTGGTTTTAGTCAAACTTCACTAAAGGCTGGACGTATTTGATGTTTTTGTACTTTCGGTATTAAAAAAAAAAAACAATTCAAAAAGACTAAACCAATTTTTTCCTCATTTTAAATATAAACAACCAAGACGTAACTGGGTCACGTGGTTTTAAAAAGTATTTTCCGGAAAAAGTTTTGAGTACAAACTCGGTGGTGACCAAAGAGTAGGTTGAAGTAAGTATATTCTAAATCTAGAAACAAAGAGAAAAAAAACCCCCGAATCTCCTGTCGTGTTGCCCGTGTCCCATTGTTTTCAGTTTCTGGTGTGTATGGAGATTAGCAGTGTAGAAAACACCTTCAGCCACTTGACACGTCAGCATGTTTACATATCTTGTGTGCTTGTCCTCAATATTTACCCCCCCCCCCCCTCCCCCAAACAATCTTACCTCACCGACATCTTCTCAACATACTTGATTCCTCGCATGTTTCACATCGGCAAGCGTGTCATTCATACCACGGAGTCTTGTTGGGGGAAGTCAGGATTTCATGCAACTTTCTCATAGGTTCTATTTTTGTTTTTCCCGTGAGTCCTTTTTCCAGATAAGATGCGCCAAAAAGTAGTTAACCCCTGCCTTCCAAAAAGATTATTTAAAAAATATTATTAATATTAGACATGCTTTTTAGCTAAGTTGTTTTTTGGGTTTGCGTTAAATATTCAAATGTCTAGACATCAGAAATAGGTCAAGGTTGCGGAGCTGGCAGAAAGGGGCGGAGTTTATGGCTTAACTGAAAAAAGATCCGCTTGGCATTTCTACCCTTTTGTATTCAGAGAAACACTTGAGCTCTACTTCATATATATCCCGTTAAAAAATTAACTCTTAGGAAAAAAAAAAAGATTCCTGAAACTGAAAGATCTAAATTGCACGAATTTTAATTTTGTATATGAAACGGTGAAAAGCATTCGCGATCATTATACCCTAGTTTACCTCAGCATATGAAGGTATGGCGTGGTAAATCCATTAAGTCATGACAAGGCTTTGACCCCAAGACTTTCAAGTCTCAATGTCTATATTATAAAAAAAACAACTAAGTTTCATGTCCAGGTCAGTTAATTTCAGCAATTTGGGTAATTTTCAGTAAGCAGATACAAGAAAACATTGCTGGATATATACAGATTTATTCAATAATGATATTGTTACAGTGCAGCAATAATTTTTGTTTTATTTCTGAAGATGAACAACAAGACATGTCATCAATAAGCCCACAATAAACAATGCATGGGATGGTAGCGTGGAACTGTCACCAAAAACTAGGTGCATTGCTGTGTGCTCTTTACTTCAGTTTCCAATTGTTACTCCATATCCAATACTATGTCCCTTGACACTCCATGCAGAGAGAAAAAAAAATCAACCATTCAATTAGAAATACAAGGAGCCATTCAGATTTCTGATGGTATGTTGGATCTTTTACAGGGTACCTTAAAAGTAATGCCTCTATGATATTATTGTAATCCAATGCGTATGGAAGAGTAGTGTATTAATTACAGTGTTAAATGGGTTATTTTCTTTTACTAACCAATAACTATCCATATAGTCTGAGGGTTATGAAGAAATGACGAACACAATGTATGCACATGATTACTACAGACTTGTCTAAAGAAAGTTTTTCACTAGTTTTCTTAGTAGAGTCATTAAAAATTGCACAAAAAATAACCCCCTGCACCATGTGGTATAGAAATAAGAACCTAACAGGCAAAAAAAGTATTTTTATAGGCAAGCAGTCTGTTTCGGAATGTCATTGTAAAAATTATTATTTCACTTCTTACTGATGATTGGTATGAGGTCAATTAAAAAAAAAAAAAAACTGGGAAAAGAATACAGACAGACATTCATGACTGCTTACTACCAATGTTAATAAACACAAAAGGACCAAATATTTCAAGAAGTATAATGACAAAAACATTATCACCTGTCACAAGAAAAAAAAAAACGAGCATGCAGACTTATGTACATAAACTGTCCCCTTTCATCAACCAGCCAACCATATTGCAATGTATTCATTATGAATGAGAGGCTATAGGCTATGCAAGATGAAAATTGAAAAAAAATATACTCCCCCAAAATTATAATTACAGACAAAATAATAATGGGCTTCATTAGAGCCTCAATATCACCTTAACTTTCTTGGAACTAAATAGCATTTTAGTTATTAAAAATGTTATTCCAAATACATTATCTAGTTCAAAATTCAAACATAACATTGCTGATTTTTAAAAATATAGTAAGTGAATTGATACAAACGTTTATCACAGAAGAGAACTGTTGATGAAAAATTCAGTCTTAGTGTATTTTTTTTTTTAGATAATTGCAATGGATTTTTGACAAATTATAAAAAATGTAAAAAGCGAATCTAAACAAACCCCCACACTAATGTATCACAGGATACAACAGTGCAAGAAAAAAAAACTTTACATCTGCATTTTTATTGTATGACAGCTTTTTCCAATACAGCCCAGTCTCACAACACATCATAGCTTCACAATATCAATAAAAGAATTTAAGAAATCAAGTTTACTAAAAGGTTTGCTCAAAGTTAGTAAACTCATTAGGTCTTAAAAACAATTTATTTTCAAGCTTAAGCCATGATCAACACATGCTTCATCAAAAAAAAAAAAACTTGCTAAATAAATAAGATACTAAAGTATGATTTTGACACAACTTAAACAAATGAAAATTCTTTTAAGTTGTGTTGGTACCAAACATTCAAAAGCACTGCTCCCAAATCAGTATACCCGGTACATTCAAGGTGTCTTCTCACAAAATAGAGCATGGAACCATTTGTAGAGTTGGCCACATTTACACAGTTTTCCCCCTCAAGTTAGACCATAGCACAAATAAAATACCAAAAAAAAATAATTGAACAATACAACTTCCTAGGGAAAAAAAAATCTTGAGTTGGTTAGGACCAAAATAAGAATGAATAAGGCGACACATTCTAAATCTCATTCATACATCACTTATGGAGTAAAACCTGTCCTATATCATAATTTAAAAGTATGATTTATGAAACCATATAAAAGCTAAAATGTAAAACAACCATCCCATATTCCAAGTAGCTGCACTAAAAAAATCAGAGCCCACAAAGCACATGATTTTTTTCTCTCTTCAAGTAACTTAATCCAAACTGTGGTTGTAGTTTTAAATTTTGAAATAGGACAGGTTATACAAAGAGTTCAGCTGTAGCTTCTAACCATAGAAGTATCACTCAGAACACTTAAAAAATTTCTTGTTTCAATAAATTAAGCAAGTACTCATTAACAGCAGCCTCCTTGCTTTGAAGTAACTGGGGTGCTTGAGTTAATCTTCACACTAGGTTTACTGTCTGAAGCAGCTGTTATGGGTCCCATTCTGTTCTTGATTTCAGCGGCCATAGTCATAAAAGCCTGTTCAACATTTGTAGCATTTTTAGCACTGGTTTCCAAGAAAGGTATGCCCAGCTGATCTGCATATTCCTGTAAAAATACAAATGTTTATTAAATACTTTGCAATTCAGTATGATAAATAAAATGTTGGAAATACTACTTGCATCTTGAAGCCCTACTGAATATGGAAGATAATGTTAAATTCTTAGTATTTTAAAAATGTAATACAGGAGTACAGAAAACTTATTTACAACACTTTAGTAATGAATAGCATTTTAAAATACATTTGGATCATATGTAAAATTAAAGTAAGAAATCAAAATTAAAGTCTGCGGTTTAATGTATCACAAAATTTTGAAATTAAATTTTTTTTTTACAGAAGTCTTCAACAATACTAAAACCAAGTCAAGTTCACTGATTACAAAACTTCATGAGAAGAGTGTTTTGATAAGTAAAAAAAAATTTAATACCTTTGCAGTTGTAAAGTCCACCACCTTCTTTGTTGTCAAATCACTCTTGTTTCCGACAAGGAGTTTATTGACATTTTCACTAGCATATCTGTCGATTTCTTGAAGCCACTGTTTTACATTATTGAAAGACTCCTGGCAACACAAAAAACAAAGATACAGTTAATACTTATGGGGGGAAATGGGACACCACTAGCCCTTTTATACTTAAATTTTTTTGTTTGTAGTCTTATGTGTGATATAAACCTTTAAAGCAACAAGATTTAATTGTAATTACTTTTTTCAAAATTAAGGATTTTTAAGTAAGAAATAAGACAGTAAAGTTAGAACAAATTAAAATGCCTCCGATTATAAATCAGGATGAAGTCATATTGTAAATAATATTTATAGGAAAAAGTTGTTCTACTAATTATTGTGATTTTGTAAAGTATTTTAAACACTTCCTTTTTTAATACTTAAAAAAATGAAAGAAAAAAAAAATATGAATCCCATGTTAAATTAGCTTCGTTTAATTTGGCTGTTTTAAGTTTAAAATAATAGTTTTATTCTCTTCAATGAAGCAGAACTTAAAAACAAGATTTTATCTTTTGACTAACAATTGTGCAATTGGTGGGAAGTTAGGCATGTATGCTATAAATTACTCATTGCCATCTAATTTAAGATAATTACACACCTGGTCTGTTACATCATAAACAACAATGATGCCATGGGCACCTCGATAGTAACTGGAAGTGATGGTTCTAAATCTTTCTTGTCCAGCGGTATCCCACTGTAATTAGAATGCATTACTTTCAATTCAAATTTTAGAATAAGTTTTTAGAAATACAAATACCACAAAAACAAACTCTGATTTTTAAAAAAGAGACAATAATCATTAAGAAACGATCAGATCACTTTTTAAACTGTCATGAAATAAAAAACACTAATATCATATGGCATGTTTTGAACAATACAAATACAATTAGTAATAAATAAATAAAACAAAATTTAAATAGATTAAGAAAATATATTAAACAAGCATGAAAATTATTTTAAACTTACAATCTGCAGTTTTATTGTTTTGCCATCTAACTCTATAGTTCGAATTTTCTGGAAATAAAAGGTTTGGTAATTATTTAACATTTGCAAATTTTGAATTCAAACTCTTACTTGTAACTTAAAAAAATAAAATTCCTGAACATTTATTAAAGTGAACAGAACAGTGAAGTAAAAGGTAGCAGTTGAATACTTACAAAATCTACACCAATTGTACTTATGTAGCTTTCAGTGTAGGTGTCATCCTGAAAAATATTTAAAAAGAAAAAAAATGAAATTTCCTTTCACATTACATTTAGGTTATGCTTTCAAAAACATTACATATATACTTAATATTTTATCTTTAGAAAGGCTAAATTTAAGGCCTAGATAAATTCATGTCCAACAAGGTCTTTTTAGGCAAACATTGTATGACTAGTCATTGGTACCCATTTCACATGAATTATAGGCCTATATATTCTTAATGTTATACTTCTTTGGAAAAAATAATCTATAAAATAGTTATTGGTGAAAACGCTATGAGCTTTACTTCATGTTGAACTATATTAGTGATAAAGCAAAGAAATAATTAAATTGATAAAAATTTGACATATTTAAAATAACATAGGCTACTAATATCTATTAGAAAAATTAAAACCTAATTATATAATTAGCAACACAACACCCTATTAAATGCACACACTGATTAAGTGCCCTAAATGATTCAGTTAAAAACCTGGCTGTTCAATGATCTGTTCTTGGTCTTGATAAGTAGATCTATAGATCTAAATCAAAACTGAATGAAATAGTTCATTTCTTCATCTTCTGAAATTCGAAGATGACACCATGAGTGTTGTATTCTTTCTATAGTTTAAACATGACTTCATTGGTTTTGTGTGTTCTTGTCACAACCATACATACTTTTCCCGATGCATTATTAGAAATGTGTTTCTACTTTTGAATACGCCTTAATTTTTATTTTATTTTTGAAATAAAATTTAGAATATGCAACACATTCAATTTTTTTTCCCACTTAAGTCTGTATCCTTAAGCTCTCCATCTATGGCTGAAGATACTGATCTCATATCCTCGGGAAATATGTTGCGGAGAGAGAGAGAGAGAGGTGTGCAAATGAGCTTTTATATATTAGGATGTATAGTCTGGAGACAATACTTACAGCAAATCGTAATAACAAACAAGATTTTCCAACACCAGAGTCACCAATCAACAACAGCTTAAAGAGGTAGTCACTGATAAAAAAAAAAAAAGCAATGTATTAAAAACAAGTTACATTTGAGGGTGTTTTGGTAAATTTCAAATATATTTCTTGATCAGAAGAAAAACTATAGGATACTTGATCCTTTTCTTAGTCATTAGACACTAAATATGTAGTCCTAGCTCATTTACTGATTTAGGTACTAAAATATTGAGTACTATAAGTTTTGGTTCTATCTTATGTCAGTGATAACCATATTTTGTATTGCAGCCAATCATAGATTAGTTGAAATTGTAATGTCGTATCTTGATTTGTAATGTAATCATGTATGTGTATTGCCAACAATAAAAAGAATGTCTTTCAAATATTTTTTTTGGGGTTGATCCTTGATGGCACAAAAATTGATCATTTTGATTACCCTTTCTAGAACTAATTAGGCCTATGAATCACATCTATTTTCATTTCCAAAAGGTCTAGGCCTATTTCAATTGTTTTTCATGATGAAAAGTGAAAATGTACACATAGGCCTACTGCATAATTTTTAAAGCATCATCTTTTGTTCCATTTTTTAAAAATTTACTCTCAATAAATTCATGTTAAGAAATATTTATCCTGGTTGAATATACATTTTTAAAGAATTGTTTAAGCCTACATTACACAGAATTCCACTAGATTTTGCATTATCATAAATGTGAGGACCCTTCAAATTTCAATCTCATATACCTGGGCAACCGTTTAAAATGACTAAAAACTTATTAGACCTATGGTTTGGTTTAATAGAAATATGCCATAGATAACAATGGATGCAAGAAAAAGATTAGGTTTTCAGTTAGCCTGAGAAAATTTCAACAATAAACACAGCTTCAATGGGTAACCCCCCTTCCATGGAATGTCATTTACAAACAATAGTATTCAAACAATAGTCAAGAAAAAGTAACAAAATTCATTCTAGTTGGTCTAATTCAGACAATGAATTGTTTGCATTCCAAAAAAATTACACACCCCTTTTTTGGTTGGAATGATCACAGTAAATCAGATAACAGTAGGCCTACAAATATCTGATATGTATCTCTACAATTATTAAAAAAACATCCAACTAAAACTAGATCTCTAAATAGAATCTAGAAGTGTAGATCTAGAATTCAAGTGTGTAGGCCTACTAAATCTCTAGATTCTAGATCTACCAGTCAGTCTGACTGGACACATAATTATTTTCTATCTTTACCTTAACATCCAATATTACTAGATCTAGTCTACTATCTAGATCTCTCAGGTAAACTAAATTAAATAACTTTGAAATTATTTCACTCAGACGCAGTACAAGAAATTCAAGAATGGGGCTTTCAGTCAGGTGATCTCTTGTCTGATTGTAGACTAGTCTCTAGATTCTAGATTAGTAATTTAATACAGAGCTAAACTTATTATAGAATTGGCCTAAATCTATATCTAATTGTGTTTACGATCAAGCAACTGTTGTTAGACAAGTGTACAATACTCTCCCGTTGACAACAGACCCGTTAACAGTGATCGCTCGTCAAGCTCGGTTACTGACCATACCCACTGACACAGCTCAGCTAGACTTGTGTCACTTACGTAGAACGAGTCGTAGGAAAACAAAAAATTTTTTTTATTTTGAACTGAACAGGGGGATTTTCTTTGTTAATACTTACTAGTCTGGATTCATTGTGGACATAATTTGGTCAAAAAACTGTTAAATGAGTCTTAGGGCTTTAATATGAGAAAACAATCTCAGAATAGTGGTCTGTTTCTGACGGCAGGCATAAATTACACTACGCCTGCTAACAAAATGGCTTCCTCCTTCCGATTTGTCAATTTCTTCTAGAGGGATAAACCAAATAGTTCATGACGTCATTCAAAAAACGTGGCATCATAAGGTCATTAACTTCCGGATAACGAAATAAAATTACTATATTCATTACAGTATTTACAGAACAGTTTTTGTACTTCAAATCTTAACTACAGTCGTAATCTACCTAAAATAGCTTGTCAGCGAGCAAAACTTACTTTAAAATATTTTACCGAAGTATATAAAAATGTTTCCACAAAATAATCACAGGAAAAGGCCTGGACAAAAAAAAATCACACTATACTGATTAAAATTGTTGAGTAGGCCTCAAGGAGGCCATTGATAATAGTCATCTGTTTATGTTTGTTTTGGAAATAAATGTAATATAGGCTACCTAAACCTATGTATTTCAACACAATCTCAACAATATTGGCTAAGCATTCAAACCATATTTCAACCCAAATCAAAACGCGCAATAAAAGGCCTACACGAAAGATGTGATCAAGACAAATGACCGCCCTAGACAAAGCCGATCATATGGGCTGTGGCGTAGCGAGGGGGGCGGGGGTGCGGACCGCACCGGGTGATATCATTTAGGGGGATGACACCAAGGCAAAAAAATAACAAAATATATGGAGAAAAATGATAATTCCACTTAATTAAGTGATTAATTCGAGTGTTAAAAAGTTTTTTAAGAGCGAATTTGACAAATCCCGACAAGGGTGGAAGGGGGGGGGGGGGGGGGGTAGCAAATCGAAAGTTTGAAGGGGGATGCAAATCGAAAGTTTGAGGAGGGGGGTGTGCAAATCGAAAATTGAAAGTTTGTCCCCGGGCGCCGGGAAGGGTCGCTACGCCTCTGGGGGGGGTGACACACCGGGTGACACCCGACCTCGCTACGCCACTGCATATGGGTATCGGTATAGGCCTACATATCGCCCCAATATAAATATATATAAATATATCCCCAATATAAATATATATAAATATATATTATATATATATATATATAATATATATTTATATATATTTGCCATTACCAGCGACACGAGCGCAGCACAATGGGGGGGGGGGGGAGGGGGAGGAAATTTTTTTTTAACCAACCCCCGACTTGTAAAGTGATTTTTGTGTGTTTGACCTTTTATGTTCCCGTGGGCCTATATATAGATCTATCCCTAACAAAAAATGTAAAAAATGTTTTGTTGCAGGTAATTTTTCGTAGTGTAATGGTTTATCTCAGGATTAGGGGGGAGGGGGTCTGCCTATTCTATGTCTAGCTGAATGTAAATTAACATTGGGGAAGGGGCGTATTTTGTTTAGCTCCGCCATTTAAAATATCTATTTTTCTGTTAGTTCTCTTTTCAAATATGGGGTTATCCATAATAAATGACGTCATGCTTTTTTGACGATTTTTACCTCCCCCTCCCCTCCGTCACACATCGTCACAAAAAGCCAGACCCCCCATCCCCTAAAATGACACAACCCCCCTCAAAATTGCAGTTGAATTTTTCTTTAAAACATCGATGTTTTTCTTTTCTGAACTCTGTCAAAATAGAGTATTTTAAACAATTCCTATTGCAATTTATTAAAACAGCTTTCTAAAACGCGAAATAACGTCTAAAATTCGTTTTCTAACATTGCTTTTTTATAATGCGAAAGTGTGGCGTTGCACCATCTAAACCCCCCTCCCCCTCATCACACCCCGTCACAAAACTACGGACCTTTCCCCCTACGAGTGTGACGTCATTTATGGACGACCCCTATCTCTCCAATGTTGACATTTTCAAAATCCTATGACAAATCTGTATATATCATTTTTTAAATAGTTTGCTTGGAACTAGATCTAGAAGTGCTATAGCATATTTCTAAAAGTTCAAGTCAACTTAGTAGATCTATAACTATTGTTTTGTTTCGGTAATGACGTTGTTGAAATTTGAACATTTCTTAGAATCTGGTGATTACTTCCGGCAACAATTAAACAAACCCGCTGGGTCTAACCAGGTTTAGAAAGGCTTACCTTGAACAGTGGGTACTTCTGCCGTGTAGTGTTACTGTTAAGAGTATTTTAGGCCGATTTTACACACCTAAGTGTCCTAACCCAGAGGCTAGATATAGAATCTAGATCTAGATTAGTTGAAATGTGAAAGAAAGTTGGGTAATCTAAGACTAAAAAAAAAATTCGGGGTAAAACTCCATTTTAGTTAGCGTATAGTATTTTATTCTCCGCTTGTCGTTTACCTCCAGTTGAGCGTATTTTATTATAATAACCGAAACACACCAAAACATTAGGAAAACACGATTTATTTATTTCTAAGTATTTTATTCTCCGCTTGTCGTTTACCTCCAGTTGAGCGTATTTTATTATAATAACCGAAACACACCAAAACATTAGGAAAACACGATTTATTTATTTGTATTGTATTGTTGTTTTCACAAATGAATAAAAAGGAATATTTAAAAAACACGACTTGTTTATTTGTATTGTATTTTTTTTTAAAAGGCATTTGTCTCATGGTGAAACTGATACACTGTTAATTATTCTGTATGATATTTTAAATTTTTGTATTTATGCTATAAATGTACAAACTCTGTGTTTTTTAATTTGACAATTTTGCCAAAACTGAAAAAAAATAATTTATTATAGAGTTGTATGTTATTTAAATTCATAGTAAATCTACCATCCTTCCCAATATTTTGATATAGATCTATGTATCAAGTATGATTTTTTGTATGAGTAAATTTCTGACTTTTAAAAAAAAAATAATGATGTGGGGTTGTCCATAAATGACGCCACACTCGTAGTGGAGAGGGGGGTCCGCAATTTTGTGACGGTAAGTGACGGAGCGACCCTTCCCGGGGACAAACTTTTTTATTTGCACCCCCCACCCCCTCAAAATTTTGATTTGCACCCCCCTCAACCTTTCAGTTTATTTTTCCAACCCATTTTGGCGCCCCTTAAGGTCAGCGCCCGGGGACATATGTCCGTCCCCCCGCCACCCCTCGCTACGCTACTGGAGGGGGTAGGTAAAAATCGTTTTTAAAAAGCGTGACATCATTTATGGATGATCCCTGTAATAAATTTGTATTATTTAGCTGTTCGTTTTACTATTTAAATTCATGCATCACGATTGCATTTTTTTACAATATTAGTTATATTAGTCTATTTCTGTACAGCCTTAAAAATGCGAAATAACGTATGAAATTTAGTGTCTAACACTATTTTTTAAAATGGCAACGTGAGTTGTCACACTTTCTCTAACACTCCAAGCCATCCCTCACCAAAATCCACGACCCCCGCCCCACTTTCGGCAGCATTATTAGGGGTCATCCATAATGTCGTCACGCTTTTTTGACGATTTTAAGTCCCCCTTCCCCTCCGTCACACGTCGTCACAAAAACCCATACCCCCCCCCCCCCCCCCCCCCAAAATAACGTCACACCTCAGCCTCTGTCAAAATAGAGTATTTTAATCAACTCCTATTACAATTTATTAAAACAGTTTTCTGAAACGCGAAATAACGTCTAGAATTTGCTTTCTATATAATGCAAAAGTGTGACGTCGCACCATCTGAACCCCCCCCCCCCCCTCCCCATCATCACACACCGTCACAAAATTACGGACCCCCTCCCCTCTACAGTGTGACGTAATTTATGGACGACCCCTTATGCTTTTTAATACTTTTATTCTGTTAGTTGAAATTGGAACACTTATTTGTACAAAGTGTGCATCTCTATTTTTGCAACCAACAAACAAAGCATTTCAGTCAGTCTCTTTGTTGTTTTTATTCATTTGTTAAAACAAAAATACAAAACAAATAAAAAAAGTCGTGTTTTTTGAATATTCATTTTTATTCATTTATGAAAAACAACAATACAATACAAATATTAAATTCGTGTTTTCCTAATGTTTTGGTGTGTTTCGGTTATTATAATAAAATACGCTCAACTGGAGGTAAACAAGCAACGGAGAATAAAGTACGGTAAAATGGAGTTTTACCAAAATTCGGTAATCTATCGTTTTGGGTACGTAAAATCGCCCGCGGCTATTAATGTACGAAAAAGTTACCTCATTGTCAAGGCTTTAATAGAGGTATATTGTGATATGTTTGTGTCAAATATTATAGATAAATGGATAATAAACCTAAATCAATGGCTAAATATATCAATATAGGCCAGAAATTAACTTTAAACAGCAGTGTCTGCGAGCAAGATTTGCTTATAAACAGCAGCCATGTGTAAAATAGAGTGGCTTCCCCCTGAATCTTATAAAAATAAAACTTAAACAAGATGGCTGCTATAGTAAATGAGCATGGTTGCATCTGTTGGAAACATCGCTAGTCTTCATTTATTACTGAAAAGTTTTAATTCAATTGTTTAAAAACAGATACATAAATGAAACAAGGAAACATTTTTGTATTTTAAAAAACATAAATCCTCCTCAAAATGTGAAATAATTATTAAAATTTAAGGAGTCACCTGTTTTTCACATTACAAGTCGCGGGCGATTTTACGTACCTAAAACGATAGATTACCAAAAATTCTAATCTAGATCTATCTTTATTTTTTTTTAGGTACGTAAAAAAAATCACGGCCGAGGCTAGATCTCTAGAATGTGCGACAAAGTTGCCTCATTGATATTCATTGATAAGGCTTTGACTTTAATAGAAGTATCTTGTGATATATTTGTGTCAAATATTATAGATAATTGAATAATAAAACAAAGTGACTACTCGGAAAAAGATTTTTCTCCCCAACTTCTCCACTTAGTCGGCAAAAGATAGTCCTGCGCATGCGCAGTGACCTATAGCTAAGGTTAGGGATAATGATAGGGTTGGGGTTAGGGCTAGGGTTCTGCAGTTGTAAATACACGCATGCGCAGTATCATCGAAAACATCGCCGCGATGGCAAGTAGTAGTTTCTCTCCATTGCGCATGTGTATCTTTTTCCGGCTAGCATCGGCCTAAAACAATCAATGGCTAAATATATCAATAGGCCAGAAATTAACCTTAAACAGCAGTATTTGCGAGCAATATTTGCAATATAAACAGCAGCCATTTGTAAAATAGAGTGGCTACCCCTGAATCTCCCGCTATAAGTTTAAAAAAAAAACTTAAACAAGATGGCTGCTGAAGTAAAAGGGCTTTGTTGCATCTGATGAAAACATCGCTAGGCTTTATTTATTACTGAAAAGTTTTAATACAATTAATTGTTTAGAATTAAAAACATGATTATGAATGAAACTTTGAAAATTTTATTTAACTTTCAAAACATGAATCTTCCTTAAAATTTGAAATAATTACTAAAATTTAATGAGGCACCTTCTTTTCACATTCACATTACTAGCCTCCGCCAATTTTATGTACCTAAAGCGATAGATTACTGAAAGTTGCCGTATGTCTTCTTATTTCTTATGAGTTGTGGCTTACTTTAACTTTAATACAATCAAGTATATTGTGATATATTTATGTTAAATAGAGGCCTAATAGATAACAAAATAATAAACCAATATCAATATAGGCCAGAAGTTAACTTTAAAGACTAACAGCAGTGTTTGCGAGCAAGTTATGGTAAATAAACCAGATTGACTTACTTGACCCTCTTTGCTCCTTATGGAACATAGGGCCTCCACCATTTCCTTCCATTTCTTCCGATCCCCGCCTATTAATTTTGTCATCTCCCAAGACATCCCTGTTGGCTTCAATTCTTCAAGAAGACTCTGCCTCCAGGTCTATCTTGGTCTATCTTGCTAGTTAACTATAACTAAGGTCGACTCGATCGTCTGAATATGAGCCACGACTTGAGTTCTGTAACTAACTTCGAGTAACTTGGTCTTAGTGTGTAAGATGTCCCTGAGTCCACTCAGCTCTAAACTCTCTTACTCTCTTAAGACAAATAGGCACCTGACTGTGACTCAAGAAAAGTAAAGGCTGCTTAACCGCATATAACTAACCACCCACTCCACTCTATACTATAGACTCTATTACTCTTTTCCTTTATTATGCTATATTATAATTATTACTTTATACTACTAGATACTTATTACTAAGTTATTACACTTAAGTCACATAAATGAGCTCTAATAGTAATCTATTTAGGAAGTGTATTGGGACCCAGGTCCTAATAGCCCGACCACTATTAAATTAGGACCAGGGTCCTTATAGTCATGGCAGCTATTCGGACTCGGCATCAAGTTTGGTCTATAATATATAGTTGCACATTTGTATAACCTGTATTAAAACCCTCCTCCCATTTTTGTAATAAATTAATGGAATTATTTTATTCATTTCAGATAAACTACATAGTTTTCATCTTCCTCCAAGTTTAAATCTGATCCACTTCGTAACTTTACTTGTGTGCACCTTTTACTGAAAGCTTGTTTTCATAATGGGCATTCAGAATATATTTTTACTGTCCCTGACTTGTGTCTACCTTGCAATTTTTATTTTATCTTTCCTGGTCTGCGTACCAGCAGGTATTAATATAAATACCTTTGATGGACATTGCCTTCTTTACGCATCTGGAAAATGGAATTTAAGCGACAGTAGGGAAGCAGAGTTAACTTATGTGAATTGGGGACCCAGTAGTGCCTGTAATTTTACAATATTCATTGGAATAGTTTCAATAATAACATCACTGTTCTATTTAGCAAGGAATTCATTTTTGCTCGCTAAAGGAATTGAAAGGTAATGATAATGACTTTAATTTGAAAAAATTTGGGCTAGGCCTATAGTTTAAATAATTTTTAAAATATAAATATATCAACCTACATGGCTATTTGTTTCAAACAAGTTGGTTTTGAAACCATCATTAAAAGATTTCGACTCTGAACATAACATAAATTAGAACGTAACATAAATCCAATAACATATATTTTCAGTTCATGGCTAGATGCATTCATCAACCTCATTGTGAACAGCAGTATGTGCATCTGCCTTTTTTCTACAGCTTTAGCTGTCAGTGTAGGCTTTCATGAATGGTGCAACTTAATTAAAGATCCACTGTCGCAAATAGACAGGTAACATTATTTACATAGTGAAGGTGTATTAATTTTAAGAAATCATCTGCTGATCAGATAGTTTTATAGCGAACTGTTGATAAATTCTCTAAAATTTAAAGAATCTCTAGACCGTTAAACATAATGTTCCTTTGTGATTTTAACATTCCTTATTGAAGTCTACAATTTAAAAGCAAGTTGTTAGAATTTTAAAATTCAAATTTTAAATGTTTTTCTGCATACTTTATGGAATGGGTGGCAGGCCACACAGTTGGTAATGCAAAAGTCTTGTGTTTGGTTCACTTGCCTGAGTCAGTTAAGGACCCATGAGATTAGTCAACCCTGTTTAGTTGGGTACCTGAAAAAAGGAAAATAAATGTAACATGGAAACGTGAACTTGATCTGTCTTAATGGCCATGTGGAGGGGTTGGAAGCAGGCATTGTTACTGAAATAGCAATATTGACAAAGAGTGATATTTTAATGTCAAGGGTAGGCACAAATATAGAGTATAGTCTGAGTAAAAACAGCAGTTTTAACCAAACGGGATCCAAACCTACCAATCTGCACTGCACCAATTCACTTTGCTTCACATGCATCAAGTCAGAAGAAGTGTAACTACTTCAGCCAACCAGCCCCACAAAAATAGAGCTTTCTTAGCGGAACTTTTTCATAGCTTGTAAGTGAGCTGGCGTGAACTCTGACCCTGAATGTTACTAATTACTACTGGTCTCAGAAACACAATAATTGACTATTGCTTGCAGAACACAGAATACAAACACAGGGACAATTATACAGACACATACAGAAAAAACATTCTCTCTACTTCATTTAATTAAGGAAACCACTGTTTGCTTTGCCATTGCACAATGTAAAAGTATAATATCTAATCTATACTTCATCTTTTTTTTAAGATGTGAGGATGGTCAGTATAGAACAATTGGTAAACACATTAACGTCGACACAGAAAACTACTATATCCAGTGGCAGGTAGCTCAGGTATGTATAAAACTGAATAAAAGAATAATTTGTCAAAAACTTTAAATTAATTAAAATGATCAAAGCAGTGAAGTAAAAACTGATCACAGTATTTTGTCATAATGTCTATGTAAAGCTGTTTTTTAAAGAAATAATTCAGATCACCTGATGCATAGGTATGCATGCATGCAAGTGCCTCGACAGTATTTAATTTGTGTCCTCTATATACATATATACCTTGGAAAAAAATACCATCTGAGGGGAAAAAAGCTGGAAATTAAAAAAATATGCAATTGTTCCTTTTGTTATCTTTGGTGTAGAAATTTTTTTTTATGCAAAGGCATATAGTCCAAGCATTTTCCAAATTCTGCATATTTATTTTCAGTTTGGAATATGGACTTGCTGGATTGGCTGGTTAATTTTATCTGTGATGTCACTGATCAGGATCTATCGCTCTCATAGACAAGAACCCTTCACTACCAGCATGAGCAGAGAACGTCAGAGATTGTTAGCCCATGTGGGGCACAACCCAGTACCTACATAAAAATGATTTAAGAAATTTTGTTCTTTCTATTTTTAAAATTTACAGTATTATTTTAAGTAATCTTTTTATATAAGTTAATATTTGTTTGTTTTCAGAGATGTAACTTTTTCACTTTTTTATGGAATTCCGCCTTTCTATTTTAAGACTATGAATGAAACAGAAATGTGACAAGACATGCCCAATTCTAATTATATTTTACTCAAATTTTCACACAAAACACGTCTCCTTAACATAATCACCCTTCTCCTGCTTCCAAAGTCACGTTTATACATAGACATAAGATGTGACAATGCAAGAAGTTTTGTTTATGGTGTCTCAGTACTACTAGTGCTGTTATTTAAACAATTTTAAAGTGGTAATTTTTAGTTGATTTAAAAAAACCATCATCCTAGGGTGGAGAAGTTTAGAGGCGTTTAGAAAGAAAGTAAAAGGGAGCTTATTAATTGGTTAATGTACTGTATGATTAACAAATAAGAACATATGCCTACGATAATTTGGCTAATGTAATTTATCAGTACCCTGTTAAAAAAACTTTTCAACTATTATAAAAACTATTCTAGAAATACTGTGTATGCTGGGTTAATAACAACTGCCACCCTTAGTATTTTCAGCTAAAAAAAAAATTCCGCTTCATTCTTGGGTTGATGGGTACATGTCTGTGTTATACTTTAACTATAATTTTAATTTTGTCTTTCATTTTAGCTTTTATTGTTACCAGATCAACCAGATAATATATTCATTGATGATCCTATTTATTTTTATATTTTAACTTTAACTCTAGATGTTACATCAAAAGACATTATAACATTTCAACTCTTTGAAAATGGAGATGCATAATAACTAATTACTATCCAGATATATCAATATTGATTATAACCAAATGTTCTAATTAGAAAATATATTTTTATAAATGCATTTTTTTTGTTTTGCCTGAATCAAAAGTGTCAATTATATTGGAAAGTAATAACCATTTTAAACTTGAACAACCAAAATGGGCACCTGTTTTTATAAAAATTAAGTCTGTTTTTGGATTGTTATTGTTCTATACCTATTGTTGCTTTAGCTTTATTATGCTTTAACTGTAAAAACTATATCTATTTTTTAAAGATTTTATTCTTTTATACCTATTGCTTATGCTTTTAAAAAGAAACATGATAAAAACAAATATTATTTCTAGTATAATGAATAAGCATAAAATAATGTTATACAATTTAAACTTTATTTCTCACTTTTTAAATAAGATAACCTTAGAATGATGGATTTACACCTTTATATAAATCTATTTATAAAGACATTCTTTTTATTGGACTTTGTCACCATAAGCTGTAATTAATTAACAATAATAATTAGACCTCTTTAATTAGGTGACTCATGCAATATTTATTGGGTAAACAATGTGTTGCAGTGAGATGAGGGTTTTGTTCCAGTTATTCATAGTGCAAGTTACAAATTAAAATCCAGGGTCTTCATTGTTATAAAAAAAAAGGTTGTTTGAGGAAAATTGTGTATTCTCTTAAGAGCATATTAATTTTCTAAATTAACCTTTGTATTGTTCAATGTTAGGTATTGACCTTTAAGTAATCTGTTGATAATGAGCATTCATAAATTCATTTGGTCTTCCAATCTTTGTTAGACTGCTTGTATTCAGTAAAATGCCGTTAAATATTTACAAACAAATTGTTAAATTTAAAATAATATTGTCTAGTCAAATAAACAAAAAGTGAACCTTGAGAGCTTTTGTGATGGAAAAAGCTTTGAGAGCTTTTGTGATGGAAAAAGCTTTTGTCTGGATTTTTTTTTATACACAAGCACTTTCACAGAGTAAAACAAATTTTCATTAAGTTAATTGAGATGTCTTCCCTCTACTTGTTATTTCAGAGAACATTGCAAGTTATTTCCTCATTTTAAAAAAATGTGAAATAATAATTAATAGTCATTTTCAGATTTTGCCTTTTTTTTCTAGTGGGTTTTTGTAAACATAATGTTTTTATACATTTTTACATTAATAATGAAATTAAAAATAGATGTATGAAAATTTTTGTATGAATAGTTGAAGACTTTTCTATTTACACTATTTGAGTATTACCTAATAAACCACCACTGCTCTGTTTACACTAGATTTAGGCTCTACAAAATATTATTTATCTAAAGTAATAATTCTGTTTACACCAAGACAAAGTGCCTGGAAGTTGCAATGTTTTATTGGTATTTGTATGCTTTATAATTTTAAATACTGTGTATTATTTTCAGATTTTGAAATGATTAAAAAATTATAAAATAACATTTTATAGTTTTTAGTATTAGTATTGTTATTTATGATGATTTGAATTTTATTGTTTGTTTTGGTCCCCAGTAAACACATTAAACAAATGAGTTATGAGTTAAACCTAGCAATCCATTGGGCTGATGAGGTAGAGTTCATATGACTCTTGATCTTTGTATAAGAAGGGATAATGTGGTCAGCACTATGCCCAACAGCCTTTATTTTCCCAAATGTGGGTTAAGTACCCATCAGAGCTGGGTGGACTCAGGGAGGTTCCACTGACTTGAACCGGGATTCGAACTCGATATTTTTCGGCTAGCAGTCTAGCGCTCTACCACTGGCCCATGCTTATGTAGTGTTGACTTTGCCTTAATTGTCAAAATAGTTTTGAAGAAAAGGAAGAATAGAAAACCAGAATTGGATGACTTAATATGAATATTTTTTCACTATTTGTAATTTTAATGAATAAACGTGGTAACAAGTCAGGGAAGGTTGTATAAGCATGATTTTAAGAGTTTAGTTCACTTTTCTAGATACCTTTTTTAAAGCTACTTAATTATAGACACTGGGTTTTTATTTAAAATACAAAACTATTTTATTCCACTTTGCTAAAAAGTAAATTTTTTAAGGAGGGTCAGTAAGTTAAATGCTTCAAGTGACATCTATTGGTCTCAACAATAATTCTTTTTTCAGACCTGCTATGGAGCACTAATAATGGTTTAATGCATTCATTCCCTTTCTATGAATAGGTACTGAAGTATTAGCTATGGCATAGGCTTGTAGCAAAAATATATCTGTCACTAAAGGTTGAGAGTTTATTATAAAAGTGTGTTAAAAATAATAATGAAAGACACTATGGGTAATAGAAAAATTTATTTGTTTTAAAACTGTTATCGATGATTTCAGCTAGACATTAAAGTCTAGGATTTGTTCATCATAAAGGTAAGTAATAAATTCACACGTTAAATAGATAATCCATATTTCATAATTGTATAACAAAAATAGCATTGTTTTAAAAATGATGCATAAAAAAACAGATCACGACTAGCATAACAACATTTTTTAATACAACATTACCAAAATATTTCACTGGCCTATTTTCCTAAAGAGAGATAGCATTTAAATATTTAAATTTATAAAACCTGTTGTATGACTGAGAACATTTACAATCTAAATCTGCCATTCTTAACACACAGTGCAATGTCATTCATCACTGGCTACTCTCTACCAAGTATTTATATTTTTCTCAAATTGTTTGCAATATATTTTTAATAAATTTTTTAGTCCACCAAAGTTTATTAGACCTCTACATTCATACCTTGCAGGAAAGCTGTTTAGTTTAGACTTAAAAATTAGAAACATACCATTAAAGTTTAGCATAATAATCTAATGAAATTATTACAACTGGAAGCCTGATTCTGTGTTGGAGGGAAATTATCTACGCCAAATGTATCAACTTGAATAGCAATCATCTGACAAAAGCACTTTATAAGAACTGTTAAATTACACTAACCACATCCATGTTATATGTTCATGGTCCCTCACTTAAATTTACTGATCTAATTTTGTTACATGTATTTTTTAAGTCAATCATTTAATCTAAAAAAATTTTAAAAACAATAATAATAGCTGAACTATTATTCTCTTGAATCATCTTTTTAATTGAGGGTTATCTTAATTAGTAGTTTTTTATTTTTCGAAATTCAAATGACAAAAGTATAATAGAAAACATATAAATCTTTAAATGTGATATAAACTGATACACCCAGGTACTCTTCAAGTTATTTGTTTACACCTTTACACTGCAGATAAACAGAAAAAAAGAAAACTGTTCTAAAAAAGATGTCTATTTACATATGCAAATTACCACGCTGCCTTACAAGAAGGTAAAAATGAAATAGGATATTAAAGGATATACATTTACAAGTAGTGTACATGACTCTTGCTAGACAATACACATCTCCAAAATCAGATGTGATAAAATTATTGACAACCATACCAGATACTCTGGTATTATACAGTAAATTATATGTATGTATTAACATACAAAATAAATTTTTACTTATAATTTATTTTTGTTTTCATTTCTAATCAAAATAAGTAAGGTACTTCTTCATATTGTTGGACAGAATGGGCATAAAAATGCATAGGTTTTTAAGACACTTTAAAGTAGGTTATGACAAACAACCTTCAATAAAGAAAAGGAGAAAAAAAATCATTCCTTGTATTTTGGAGAAAATATAATTATATTATTTATAAATGTGCAATTTTAAAAGATTATGGATTATCTTTTCAAATGTTCCTATTTAATTGTGACATGTATAATTGTTAGATAAACAATTTGATCAGGTTAAAAAATTATATTCACAACCACACAGGAGAAAGTTAAAATTTGCAATTTAGGGTTGCTTAGAGGGTAAATAATGATTGTCAAATAATATGATATTAATATTATTAATGTTAGATTCCATTTCAGAGTTAACGTTTGAAACAAGAAGATACACATAGAAGACACTAATATGCCATTTGAGTATTTTTAATGGACAATATGCTTTTGTTTACATTAAAAAAAGTAATGGATTTAATATATTCTAACAGGTTCATCTGTTATTGAATTGAGCCAGAAAAAAAAATATCTTCAAACCCACTGGTGGTGTATCTCTATTATAAACTACGAGGTACTTATTGAAGAATTTATTAATGAAAGGGATGTCAATAAATAAATGCAAAATTTCAGTGTACATATTTACAAGTATGAATTTTAAATGATAGTCTAGACCTGTATAAATTATAAATTCTAATTGCTTAAATATAAAGGAACACAACCAATTTAGCAGATCCAGCTTAAATAATAAATAGAAGTCCGTCATTTGATAAAATACACTAACCTTCTTAAAGTATAGTGAATGGATTATATTTGAATAATAAAATCCATTCTTAGAATCTATCCTGAAAAATGGTCTGTGATATATATTATTTGTAATAGTTATTCTAAACCAAATTGAAATAATACTTTTTAAGTTACAGTAAAAAGACTGAAGTTTTAAAAAAAATATAATTAAGTAACTAATATTGAGATAATATTATTTTGTATAATGTGGTTGAACAAAAGTTGGAGGAAAAAAAAGGTGGTTTATTTAAAAGAAAAAAAAAAACATTTACTTTACAGTTATATTTAACTAAGACACTTCTTTTATCACAGAGACTAAGGTAAACAATCCACTGCCAATTTTAAATCCGAACATCAGTGTTAAAAATCTGAATAATGCAACAGTAGTAGAAAAAGAAATTTAAAAAAAAATTATTTTCTTAAATATATTTATGATAGATTTCTATAGTTGTTGCTGAAATAAGACAGCGAGATACTTTGCTACTAGCTTATAATGGAGAATCCTATGTAATAATTCATAGTCTATAAATAAATGTCAGCGTCTTTAATATTTCTTGTGCCGCTAAAACTCACTGTCAAACCAACTAAAATATAAATTATCAAATTTTGTAAAGACCATTAACTACAATTAGTTTAATTTAAATGGTATATAATATCTTTTGTTTTACTTAAAGCTAAATCTATTCAACACAAACTTTAACACAAAAAAAAACTGATTATGCTAATATAAACACAATTTTATGTGCTCAAATGGCCGAAATAAATTCTCTAAGCCATTAATATCAACAACGAATATATGGATACATTAAAAAATATATGGTATGCATGTTAAAAATATTCTATTATTTAGTGGTAAAAAAAAAAAAACAACCAATGACTATACTAAATCAACAACAGCAGTAAAAAAAATTGATACAGGTTTATGCAGATTTTGATTTAACGAATGAACTTCACAGTGTATCACTGTCTTCTAAATAGTTCTGTCTCCACTCCTGTTCCTGGAATCTTTTATTACCCTTGACCTGTGACCCGGCATTGTAACCCTGCTGACCCGGGTGCACCTGGTAGTGGTTGGGTCGCATTTTAGAGTCTTGTTGGTAAAAATGACCGGCGGGGTCTTTGATACCGCCACCCCAGGACTGCGTTGGCATGGAGTTTAATTGCGGAGGATAAGCTCTGAATCCAGCGGGGCCCTGCGCGTTCTGATGAGGTGCTGCAAGGGGGTGAGGTCGGCCCTGGGGCTGTTGATTTAGAGCCGAGGAGGAAGTTAAAGATCTGGCTGACTGCCTGATCTGAGCGTCTCTTTCCAGGTAATTCCTATCTTCTGTTCTATTTTCTCCCCTGCTTAAAGGTCTCGGTACAGGTAATGCATTAGCGTCATCTCTTTCGGCGTGAGCTGCCAAACCTTGTGAGGATGGGGGTAATTTTTGTGACTCGCTGTATCCATATCTATGTGCTCCTGCATTGTCTAATGATCTGACCGGAGGGTTTCTTTGTTGACTTGTGGGTTTAGTGTCGTACGAGGCAAACTGCTGAGGTAGAGCTGAACTGGGGGCGGGGTTAGGCTGTCCCGGGTAGCGAGGTGTCACGGGAGGGGGTGGGTGCTGACTTGGCTGGGAGGTTCTAGCAGGGTCGATAGGTCTCTGGGAGGAATACAGCTGTGGTTGTGTCAAATGCTGAGGATGCTGGGACTGCAGTTGTTGGTTCGGGTCGTTCTGAAAATGATGAGAAGGGAGCGGCTGATTGTATTTATTAGAGTCTATCGGGACACGAGGTACGACAGTAGGGTCTGGATTTCTCCTTTCATCAGCTCGATCAGGCATGTGTGTTTTGAGTCCTAAGCCAAGCTGGCCTCTTTTATCAGAATCTGTTTGATTTTGTGGGAATAAATGAGTAGTTGATGACTGTGAAGGATGAGATGGCCTGTTCATTTCGTTATGAGGCCTTGGTGCATACCTCTCCAGGTTTTGTGGATGGAACGGATATGAAGTGGGCTGTGGTTCTAAACCCGCTTGCCCATACTGATTTTTCCCAACAGTTGGTTTGACTGTAGCGGATAACGGAGTGCTGGCCATCTGAGGTTGAGGTTGTGGAATATAATTAGAATATGCCATGGATGGTGGTTTTCCAGGAGAGTCGGATAAATATGGAGGATCCAGTATGCTGTCTGTTGAGTCATTAAATCTCCCGACATCGCCGACGTCACCAAGCTTACGCCATACAACCTAGGGTAACATAAACAAAATTTGACATTATTTCATGCTCCAATCTAATTTAAAGGTCATTGTGTTTAATTTAGCAGACTGACTCTGTGGCACAAGTAAACAACAGAATTCCTAATTCAATAAATAACAAACTAAGTAAGGCTTATATTTAATTTAAATAGCAAATTTATTATAGAAGTCCCTTACATTACACATCTCCCTCACAATAGCTTTTTCAGGATCATCCAAATCCTCCTCTGTTGGTGTTTTTTCTAACTCTTCATGGACCTGTAGGACCTATCAATGTAATTTTAATATTACCTTTTAAGCACTAACAAAATATTATTTGAATGATTAATCAAACAAAATATATTTAAATAAAGCACAGAAAGAAATCTAGAACTATTTTTTTTACCCAAAAATTATGATCTTTAAAACAAATTTCTAATAAAATAAGTTGCCTCCCAAATCCCAACTCTACATCATTGAAGGCGGTAACAGGCATAATAGGTTGATTAAATAGTGTTACAGTAGTGTAGTAAATCAAGCTAGTATTTAAATAAAGGAATATAATCTTATAGGGGAAGCATGGGAGGTAACCATAATGATACACAAACACTTTTAAAGTAAGGTAAATAATAGTTTTGTTAATATTTACTGCTGTGTATAAAAAGTAAGTATATAATATATACTGACAACTATGTATTAAATTTGCATATGCATATTGGGAACTAATAATTTATTTCAAAATATAATTATCTTAAGTTTACTTATGAGCCAAGACAAAAACATTTGTGCAATCCAAAATAAAAAGAAATATTCTCTGTTAATGCTTAATACTCGTATCTTGTTTATATTACATTTCACTGCACAAATGTTAAGAGGAAAACAAACAAACTGCTCAATGATGAGTGGGCATCAGACAAACCTTCATCGCATGCACTACTGCCTCTGGCTTGCTGGATGTAGATGGCTTTCTCAAACCAACAGTACCAGGGATTGAGCCATGCACAGACTATATTACATGCAACATGGGAGGACAAACAGATAATCAACAAAAATTATTCAACTCAAGTTGGGATCAAACAGATAAGTCTCAATAAATTTGCTATAATACAAACCATGCTACACTGAGTAAAAATGATAATCAATACATTTTTTTCAAAAGAATTGTTGTTTCAAATTTTAAACAAGAAAACTTAGTAATAATACAATGACAAAAAAATGGAACAAAATAGTGGAATGCAACAGACATGCAATTTTTAAAAAATGTTAGAAACCAACCTGATCATTACTTATGGTTGAAGTATTTATGCCATCTATAAGAATATTATCAAGCCCGTCTAGACTATTGCTACCTATCCTCTGCAAACAAAGACGATTTAAATTTATAACCTGGTTAAAGTGTCTAAAATAATTTTAATTACCAAAAATTTAAACTCTAGCCCGTGAATGTTTAAAGGCTCTAATTTACAACATGTTTACTTTTCCAATAAATATTCTATACCTGTGCCAACAATTTCTTCTCCTCTTCCAACTGATGTATTTTAATTTCAAGCTCTCGGACATAGTTTGCTGTTGTACTAGCGACTGAAAATATACAATTTTAATATTTATACTATAAATACTATAAAAACAATATGGGACAGCAAGGTCTAGCGGTAGAGCGCTAGACCGCTAACCCAAAAATCTCTAGTTCAAATTGGGGTTCAAATCAGTAGAGCATCCCCTAGTCCACCCATCTCTGATGGGTACCTAACTCATGTTAGGGAAAGTAAAGGTGGCTGACCACACTATCCCTTTATATGCCAAGGTTACAGAAACAGGTGAACTCTACTTTACTTACTCAAGGACCATTAAGTTCAAAAAGGAAACTTACGACTTACTATAAAAACTAAGAGGGTATTTAAGTTTACCACATTATATTTGCTATCTTTAGTAAACTATTTTTTAAGAAACAGCTATGCTACTAAATTTCTGTCAACTTAAGTATGTGTCCCTGGAGTCACAGGGTACAGTTAATTGTTTTTTTTATTTGCTACATACTAAATATTATAAAGTCTATCTGTTATCATATGAGTAATCAATAAAAAATCTTACATCCAGTGTGTGCAATAGAGCTCATAGGATGAGCTGTGTCCATGGCAACAACACCATCCTCATGGCCTGTCACTGTACCATTACTGCTCCCATCCCCTTCATCTCTGTCCCCAGTAACTCTCGCTCTTTCTTGATCTAGGTAAATACACAATTCCTTGAGTTCTAAATTTTCCATCACTAGATCATTCTGTCTATCCTCCAGCTCTCTGAGCTTGTCCTGGTATGCAGCAACCTGTTATGAAAAAAAAAACTGAATTTGCATACAGCGATACTTTTTTTACTACCACGGGCACATACAATAAGACTTGTGTTGCATCAGTCTACTGACCTCACTCTTCATAACGCTTGCTGTGTAACGACCAAATCTTTGCCACTCACGAGCCAACTTGCGGCCTCTTTGGCGGTCGTCATCTAGAAAGCAACACAGGTCTCGCAATTCTTGATTGTCATCCTGTAGTTTCTGGTTGAACTCTTTAAGACTGCGCACCTCCAGCAAAAATATTTGAAATCGCCTGTTTACATCTTTGATAACGTTGCCATGTTCCCCCAAGAGGTACTTATAATCTCCTTCAACACGTCGTAATATTCTAACCAGATCTTCAACACCTACAGAATTCATAAGTATTATAAAATTATTTTTAATGAATTAATCAAATGAATTATACAGAATGTATGCACAAAGTAAATTTGCATACAACTTTAAAACAAAAATAGTCCCAAAAATGTGTTATATACCATTTACTGATGGCAGCTAAGCAGTATATGCTTTAGTAAATACAATTTAAATAGTGATAATGCATTCCACATAAAACAATTTTTGGGTTTAGACCACTGGAGAGCTTAAGGCCAACCCCAATATTAGTTCATTTTATAAAATAGTACCTTTACGTCGCAACTCATCATCTGTTAATTTTGATAAAGCTGCAACTGAGGGACTTGGGGTGATTTGCTTCAAGACTGGAATCTTTTCTGCTCTGGCCCCACTGTTGCCAGCTGAATAGCTGGACGTGCTGGACGGAGTGGATGGAGCAGTGGGACGCTGTGGTTCCCACTCCATGCTCAGTCAAAGTTAAGTAATATTTTCTGAAAAAGCATAGAAATTTGAGTGTAATTTTACAAGTACTTGTAATTATGAAGGTATCTTGTAATTTTTACTATAATAGGAACTAAATTTATTGTAAAATATTCAGAATAATGAAAATTAATTCTAGGTTGAATACTACCAAAAGAAATAGTTTACAGTAGGCCTACTTTCTCTCATTCAATGTCATAACAGTCTCAAGAACTGCTCATAATGAAGAAATAAGCATTTCTCTTGCACATGTTACTAGCTGCTAGGTATGTAATTAGTAGGCCTATTATAAATTCTAGTTTCTCAAATTAACTTACTCTTTGTACATATATTTAGTTTTGGATGTACACTGTGCTGGGTTACTTTTGCTGAAGTGAAATACTGCTCGTTTAATTTTAAAAGAGTGCAGATTATTATATAAAATATGCTGTCAGAAATTAAAGCACTCTTTCTGAAGTATACAATCCGAAAAATTTGATTCTGCAATCAGAAAATAAGATCCATAATTAATTAGGTCTATGTAGGCCCTACTATGTTAGTATGTATTAATTTCAAAATTTATTTTCGTATTATTTTTTGTCATTATTTTATTTTAACTAGATCTGCTAAAGTGGTAGGCCCTACTTGTTAATATTTGATTTGCCTCATTAAATGACTAATTTTGGTCAAGTGGCATGGTGTTCTCACCAAAAAGATCTACTTTACAATAGTAATAGATAAGGAGGGGGATAGAGCAGCATATGAAGGTCCAAAAAGTAAAACAATAGAAGACAATACAAGTGACAAATACAGGCTGAGTATAATGTAGGGCCTATGACTATAGTTATTCTTATGAACTTATACTAGGGCCTAAATACTTATTCATAGTACTCTTGCTATTCACAAGAACTAGTGTAAACTGTAAAGTGTGCATAGGTTTCTGTGTGTAGTGTAGTCTGTGTAGTGTCAGTTTAATGTTTGTACATTGTATCAGCCTTGTATCAGCGTGTGTACTCAATGAAGAATGAAGTTAATTTACTGAAATTGTGCAAGTAACTCTTCTACACTACACACTCTCACTCACTATGCTATGACTACGTAGTTAACTGTAGTACTGTACAAACACACTAACTCCATAAAAATAGGACAGAGAATAATAATAGATTATATAGTTTAGTTATAGAAGACTTAGAGTAATTAATTATTAATAAATATTAGGCCTATTATGATATAGATCTATAGCTATCATTGATTAATTGAATGAATGAAACTCAGTCAACCAGATCAGTTCAGCAAAGATCAGACTCAGAACGATTTTTTTAACTGAGTTCTCGTTTCATCATCATAGACTAGAGTACCGGTTATCATTCTTTAATAACTTCCACATATTTGTATTTTACTGTTTCAGCAGGTTCTTTAATAAATGACAATATTCTATAGCTCTAGTAACATACTTTTTAAAATTATTCTTGTGTAATAATCCGTTCGTGAAACTGACCCACTCCATTAGTTTATCGAAATTAATTAATATGGCGGAAATAGATTTTTTAGGGAATCCCCGCAAGGTGGCGCTACTGTAATAAAACAATTTTTCCAAAATGTGTGTTACGTCCCCTGTTCTTATTTTTTTAACAATTTCAATGAGCCCCTTGTCTAGTAGATCTAGATCTAGATCTAGCTCTTAAAATGATTTTTTTTGCAGGGGATAAAACAAATATTAGATCTATATAGTCTACTTTTTAAATTCATAAAATAATAATCATTAAAAAAGTTTTTAAAAACCCACGTTTTCTGATTGAACTAAAAAGTAGAAAATAAATGCTATACATCACAATAATGCAAGCGATCACTCTACTATAAGCGATGAAAAACGTGGGGCGCCGAAGTAAAAGTTATATTACTATTGATTAGATAATACTATTGACTTTTATTAGGGAGCTTGTAGAGAGTCAACAGTATTAGAAACTGTAAGAAAATCACGGCGCCCCACGTTTTTGATCGCTTATTGGGTAAACGAAGACAACTCGTAAAAAGACAACTCGTAAAAAGACAACTCGTAAAAAACACGTTGTGTAAATACGTTACTGACTAGAACACATAGATTTGAACCCGTGTCGAGTGGGATAGCAATCGTGTGCCCAACCACTCGACTGTGCCCAACACTCGACCATATAGTCTCCCCCATACTGTTACGGTTGTTTGTACACAAATTACAGTTACTGGGTTATGTCCCTTTTTTCCCCACGTTTTTATTACAACGAGCCGACCCGCGGCGTATCATACGCCGCTATTTAGTTGATTTATTTTCTACTTTTCAGTAATTCATAATTTGTGAATTCGACAGTACCAATGCTGCCACTGAAAATATTTGCTTTAAAACACTAACCCCCCTCCTTTCCCCTAACCCCGACCCTACACCCCCCCCCCCCCTTGAAAGCAGCCTCCTCTTAGTTACCTTTAAAGTCGGTTCAAACTAAATTATCTGCCTCTAATAGCCGTCACTAAACCTGGCTGTACGGTTTGTAAACATTAACGTGACCACAGCTCAGCAGACCATGTGGGGGTGGGGTAGGGTGGTAGTGATAGTGATAGAGAGAAAGAGAGGGGACTGTAAGGAGGCGCTTGCAGCTTGTTTTCTAATGGCTCGCAGAGGAGAATTATATATATATAGATTATATAGCGGTCTAAAATGCTCAATAAAATGTTTCCATGGATCAATTTAGTAATAATAACAATTAAATATTCTAATGTCATCCAAAACAAAGCTTCCCTGAAAATTTCAGCTCGCTAGCTTACTGGGAAGTGCCAGAAATTTTGATCGCAAGATTTGATTGGAAAGACAAACAAACAGAGACGAAAGCAAGTTAAAGAAAACGTGGGAACTAGTTCATATTATTTGTGTCATAATTAATTAAAGGATAATTGAATTAATTGGATTTGTTGAATAGCTCAGTGGTATCATTGTGCTCCTATATCAGTATATTACATTGTACTGGTAACAAAATATGTAAAACCTCATACATTATTAAAACAATTATTTTTTAAAATAATACTTGTACATATAAGCATATGTAGCTGAGGTTAAAATAGAAAGAAATGTTTAGCCTATCATGACTACCTCTTCATCCACAGGCTTTTCCTTTACTTTATGTGTCAGGGTTTCAGGAACATCTTTGAAGCTGACAGATCCTTTCTTTCTTATTTTTTGCTGGCATTACTTTTACCAGATCCATCTACACTGTCCTGAGATGGTTTTGGGTCATTATCATAAGATGTTTCAGTTACCACCCCTTCTAGTGTGACAATGGCATCATTTACCTCTGTCATTGGTTTTGGTAAGCAGAAGTTGCAGCGATGTGTTTCCGATTGTGTTACAATCTTGGCAGCATCCTCCAAATTTAAAACAAATGGTTAAGTTAAGATTTTCTGAACTCCACTTCAACTTGCGTGTTGTTTCCGCATGTGTAGGCCTACTTTTTTCCTCGTCAACTATAGGTCTACATAATTTAAATATTTAAAAAAATAAAACATATATTATATAAGCTTAAGTAACAGTGATTTTAAAAAGTTCCCTTTCAAACCTGACGATCTATAGGGCAAGTGAAGAAGAGTTCACTTGTTTCTGTGTCCTCTGCATATGAAGAGATAGTGTGGTCAGCATTATGCCCAGCCGAAAAAGAGGCTTTACCAACTTAAAAATAATTTATATAAATTGATTTGAAAATACGGACATAGACCTAATACCTATGCGTGAGAAGACCATTTTTAATAAATTAATAATTGTTGTGTATTTACAGTTCTTATTTTTTTTATTTTATAGACCTTTTAGCCTTAAACCATTTCCCTTACTGTCCACATTCCTCCATAAAAATAATTAATTAAATAATTAAGACTTGCACACAACTTTAAATACTAATAATACTAATATTATAGTAAATGCAGAAACTTACATAGATAATAGATATTAGATCTATATATTGGGCTTATATTATACTATAGTATTGATTACTATAGTACTCATTTATTAAAAACAGATCAAATACTTAGGTTATAAAATGTTAATTAATAATTATAATTAATAGGCCTAATCAATTTGTATGCGTTAACATCATGAAACATCCAGTCATGCGTCAGTAATTTGTCAATCCAAGCCGAGAAAGACCATTTTCTGATAGCGACATTATTGCCCTCGGGAAGATCTAAGATCTAAGAAAAGGTCTTAGGTACGTTCTAGGACAAAAGTGCTAGCAGTCAAAGGGCTTCAAGTTCTTAAAGGATTTTCAAATTATGTCTGCAATTTTGTATGCGTTAACATCATGAACTATCCAGTCATGCGTCAGTAATTTGTCAATCCAAGCCGAGAAAGACCATTTTCTGATAGCGACATTATTGCCCTCGGGAAGATCTAAGATCTAAGAAAAGGTCTTAGGTACGTTCTAGGACAAAAGTGCTAGCAGTCAAAGGGCTTCAAGTTCTTAAAGGATTTTCAAATTATGTCTGCAATTTTGTATGCGTTAACATCTTGAACCATCCAGTCATGCGTCAGTAATTTGTCAATCCAAGCCGAGAAAGACCATTTTCTGATAGCGACATTATTGCCCTCGGGAAGATCTAAGATCTAAGAAAAGGTCTTAGGTACGTTCTAGGACAAAAGTGCTAGCAGTCAAAGGGCTTCAAGTTCTTAAAGGATTTTCAAATTATGTCTGCAATTTTGTATGCGTTAACATCATGAACTATCCAGTCATGCGTCAGTAATTTGTCAATCCAAGCCGAGAAAGACCATTTTCTGATAGCGACATTATTGCCCTCGGGAAGATCTAAGATCTAAGAAAAGGTCTTAGGTACGTTCTAGGACAAAAGTGCTAGCAGTCAAAGGGCTTCAAGTTCTTAAAGGATTTTCAAATTATGTCTGCAATTTTGTATGCGTTAACATCATGAACCATCCAGTCATGCGTCAGTAATTTGTCAATCCAAGCCGAGAAAGACCATTTTCTGATAGCGACATTATTGCCCTCGGGAAGATCTAAGATCTAAGAAAAGGTCTTAGGTACGTTCTAGGACAAAAATGCTAGCAGTCAAAGGGCTTCAAGTTCTTAAAGGATTTTCAAATTATGTCTGCAATTTTGTATGCGTTAACATCATGAACTATCCAGTCATGCGTCAGTAATTTGTCAATCCAAGCCGAGAAAGACCATTTTCTGATAGCGACATTATTGCCCTCGGGAAGATCTAAGATCTAAGAAAAGGTCTTAGGTACGTTCTAGGACAAAAGTGCTAGCAGTCAAAGGGCTTCAAGTTCTTAAAGGATTTTCAAATTATGTCTGCAATTTTGTATGCGTTAACATCATGAACCATCCAGTCATGCGTCAGTAATTTGTCAATCCAAGCCGAGAAAGACCATTTTCTGATAGCGACATTATTGCCCTCGGGAAGATCTAAGATCTAAGAAAAGGTCTTAGGTACGTTCTAGGACAAAAATGCTAGCAGTCAAAGGGCTTCAAGTTCTTAAAGGATTTTCAAATTATGTCTGCAATTTTGTATGCGTTAACATCATGAACCATCCAGTCATGCGTCAGTAATTTGTCAATCCAAGCCGAGAAAGACCATTTTCTGATAGCGACATTATTGCCCTCGGGAAGATCTAAGATCTAAGAAAAGGTCTTAGGTACGTTCTAGGACAAAAGTGCTAGCAGTCAAAGGGCTTCAAGTTCTTAAAGGATTTTCAAATTATGTCTGCAATTTTGTATGCGTTAACATCATGAACCATCCAGTCATGCGTCAGTAATTTGTCAATCCAAGCCGAGAAAGACCATTTTCTGATAGCGACATTATTGCCCTCGGGAAGATCTAAGATCTAAGAAAAGGTCTTAGGTACGTTCTAGGACAAAAATGCTAGCAGTCAAAGGGCTTCAAGTTCTTAAAGGATTTTCAAATTATGTCTGCAATTTTGTATGCGTTAACATCATGAACCATCCAGTCATGCGTCAGTAATTTGTCAATCCAAGCCGAGAAAGACCATTTTCTGATAGCGACATTATTGCCCTCGGGAAGATCTAAGATCTAAGAAAAGGTCTTAGGTACGTTCTAGGACAAAAGTGCTAGCAGTCAAAGGGCTTCAAGTTCTTAAAGGATTTTCAAATTATGTCTGCAATTATGTATGTGTTAACATGAAGCATACAGTCAAAATAGCGTCGCCTAGGATATCTATAATATAAGCGGGCTGTGTCTGTCCTTCCTTCCTTCCTTCCGTCCGTCCGTCCGTCCGTCATCGCTATAGATTTTGGGACTATAAAAGTAAACATTCGCACCATGCTGTGCTTTTCAGTGCACCGCAGTGTCTTATTATAAGTAATAGAGTAGGGTTTGTTTATATAGCGGCATAGAGCTATTTTATAATTTCCACTGTTTGTACAATTTTGCATAACGTAAAGAGAATATTAAATACACGCACATTGCTAAAACATATTAAAAGGATCAATGTCAAATATCGTTTTCGTTAATATTCCCAGAAAAAGTGGATACATTTTTATAACATA